CAGTGTGCCTGGTCCACAGTGGTATTCCAAAACTGTCAGAGTCCTCCGCCCCTCCTCAGAAGATTAACGAGCCCAGCCTTGTAGGCTGCAACTTGAAACCTTTGATTGCTTTTCAGTCAGGTTCTCTATTAATGGGAGGCAGACAATACAAAATCTCCAGTTCCCAAATGCCCTGAATTAACTTGCTGCTGCTTTGTAAATGTTTATAGCATTAATGTGAAGTCAATCTGGGAAGATTCCATCTTAGCAACGCCACCCAGGGCAGGTCGCTAGCTTTGGAAGGCTGGGGGTCGGACTCTGTGTAGACACCCTCAACCTAGGGGTTTTCAACAAGTGCTGAAAGGAGGTATTGCTTTTCCCCAGTGCTGCAGTTGGCCACTAGATCCCTAGGGGCCACAGCACCTGCTTTACAAAAACTCTGGTGCTGAGGTGGAGAGGGTGGGTGCAAATGCTGGGATACTTTTTAATCATTCAATCAACGTGTAGTTGTTTTCAGTGCCTATTAGAGGAATAATCCTGGAGTCGACTCAGATGTGGACAGAGGGAAAACATATTCAAAAATCATGAATAGCGGGGCGACAGTGGCTCACACCTGTAATCCTAGCTACTCAGGAGGCTGAGATCTGAGGCTCGAGGTTCAAAGCCAGCCTGGGCAGAAAAGTCCGTGAGACTCTTATCTCCAATAAACCACTAGAAAACCGGAAGTGGTGCTGTGGCTCAAGCAGTAGAGTGCTGGCCTTGAGCTGAAGAGCGCAGAGACAGCGCCCAAGCCCAGAGTTCAAGCCCTACGACCGACAAAAAAAATAAAAATAAAATAAATCATGAAGTCTGTGCTCTAAAAGCTCCTAATTTGACTGGCTTTTCTAAGACAAATAGTGACTCTATGAAACTCTATCAGCCCATCTGTAGGGTGCTGCTAAGTTCCTTCCTTCCTTCCAGGAGAGAGCTGCTGACGCTATCAAAATGCCTTCTAACAACTTTTCCCGGTGGTTTCTTTCATTCTTTCCTTCCTTTTCATGTTTCATGTTTCTTATTTTTCTTTGCCTAGGAGGGAGTCATCTTTCCTTCCCTGACATGTCTCCCATTGCTGTTGTCTAGGAGAAATTCTCAGGTGGTTTCCTTATGGTCCTTTCTCCACCTGGTCGCCGGCTCTACGGGGTTTCACCCATCCTTCCTAGACTGGGCCATGCATTGCCAATGGCTGTCAGCCAGACACTGTGGGCAGGGCAGCAAGGAAGTCCCTTTTCTGAGAATTAGTCAACAGCTAATTCCTTTAGCATGGGCTGGTTATTTTGCCAAGAATAATAAAGCAACTGGAAAATATGTAGCTTTTGAAGACCTCAGGGAGGTCAGCCACATACTTGGGAGTTTTGTCTGCTTATGGCTATACCCGCAAGCACATGTCCACCTGAGCTGAATACTTAAGGCTTTTTAGTGGGGAGGAAGGAGTTCTACGTCCAAGGAAATGGTGCATCAAGGTTACAGAGAAAATATTTGGATACAGCCCAGAATTCCTGAATGATTAATTAGCAGGAGAAGGTAACTAACAGAGATTTCTGTGTTGCTATTTGTGGAGCTGTGTGCAGGGCCAATGACTTATCAGATGCTGTGGAGTCATGGGGGTCCTAAATGACTGGGAAAACCAAGGTGCAAAGAGAGGAGCTCCCCACCGAGACAGCCAGCTTCAACTTGTAAAAGATCATTTTTAGCACCATCATTTTGCCATTTAACACCTATCAACAGTAGGTAGAAAGCAGGGGCTGAGGAGGGTTGGGGGCCGGGTAGGAGGAGGAGATTTGGTTCATTTAATGGGACACGAAGTAGAGACAGGCTCAGAACACAAGTTGCTGGTGCTCATGGTCCCTGACACCATTGGTTGTGCCCCATCGCCTGCCAGAAAGCCATCTGATGCCATGGCGAGGCATCTGTGTGCATCGCAGAGCCAGCGCTGCCCCCAGCACGCAGAATCTTCCAGTCCCTTCACAGCACAAGTCCAAGTCTGTAACTGCTTTGTTTATTTATTCTATGTTATTTGACTCTCCCCTTTAGCCTGATTAAAACTGGCAGCTGCTTCAGAGCAAATGCTATGCTTGCCTTTTCTACTCCTGGGTCCTTGGCACTAAAACAGTGCCTGGCACCTACACAGCACTCAATGCACATTTGATGAATGGATCTTCAGAGTTCTTATAGGAACCAAGGAAGGGATTGTCCAGGCCTGGCAGGGATTGCCTTTAACACACACACTTGTTTGGTAAATCTGAATGAGGAAACTGCAGAAAGCTTGGGGACTAGGCTGTATGCTTCTCCAGAGGCCTGGTCTCTTTTTAACAAATAGAGCACAAGAACCACCAGCCAGGAGGCCTGATGGTACACAACGGGAACACTGTGGCTCCTTGGCTTATGATGGGGTGACATCCCATTACACTTATGGTACATTGAAAAGGTAATAAATCAACAATGTACATAGAACATATAATCTTCTGAGCATCCTAGCTTCTCAAAACAGTGCACTGTATAATCCTGAGTGTTTCCCCTTGAGTGCTGGGCTGGGAACTGTGGATCCCTACTGCAGCCCAGAATCACAAAACAGGGTGAGATTTCATGTTTCTAGAATAGCAAAGACCCAAATTCAAATGACAAAGTATGGTTTCTACTGAACGCACATTGTTTTCACACCTGATGTTGAAAAATGGTAAGTTGAGCCTACATTGCTTAGGAACCATGCAAAGAAGACCACAGGAGGCAAGTGGACATTGACAATACATGAAGGTTGGCCAAGGGTAAAAGAGACAAACTAAGTCATAGTAGTGTACACAGTCCAAGGTACTCAGGATGCAGTGGAGAAGGACCATGATTCAATATTGGTCCGGGCAAAGTTAACTCAAGACTATCTGTGGAGCATGCTACAAACTAAAGGTCTTGAGTTGTCTCAAGCTGTAGAGCACTTACCTGGGAAAACTTGAGGCCCTGAGTTCAAACCTCAGTAGAGAGAGTAAGTGGGGATAGAAGGGAGGGGAGAAAAGACCCAAGAAAGGAGAGGAGTGGATCTTTCCCAGGGAGAGTAGAAAGAAATCAGAGAGAGAGAGAGAGAGAGAGAATAGGAAGAAATCAGAAAATTTTCTTCTCTTCTTTGGGTAGTCTTTAGGCTCTTATTAAGGAGCTTGCCTGTGTTTGTATAATAAAACTCTGCTGCCCAAAGCTATAAAAAGAGGTAAACGGACACCTTAGGTAGAAAACCTTGGCTTGCTTGACCTTTGAAGGACTCAGATGTCTGGGTGCAAAGACCATTGATGAACTTCAGTGATGGAGAACTTAAAGAGTTATCAGTCTCTTGATCTTATTTTGAAAACAGTTACAACCCAGCCATTGTTCGTTGATTTATGAAAACCAAAGCCACATAGACTGCTGATGGATACAAGTCATCTGCCCACTGGGCTGCCTGGGTCAGGTATGTGTGGTCTCTGATCCCTTTCCAAGGCTTCCACCACTGCTGGAACCCTTACTGACTCTGCCCGGCCCTGTTCTAACTGCCAGACTGGCTGCAGGGCAGCTGTGTGTGGTCTTGGGGGTAACTGTCCTTGGCTATCTCTGAGTCTCATTGCTCAGCTGTCAACTGGAGACAAGGGTATCATCATGTTACATACTGATCCAAATATTGTGAGGATTAAGTAAGGTAATATAACAGTGCTCAGCACTTCTGTTGTACTTGGAACCAATAAATCGTTACTATCATAGGCCTAAGACAACTTATCATGGACTAAACACAGAATACTGATTTTTAAGCTGTTTGTCTCTCTGTCTCTCCTCTCTCTCTTTTTTCTCTCTCTATCTCACTGGGGTTTTAACTCAGGGCTCCTTGGCAGGCAGGCACTCTACTGCTTGAGCCATGCCTCCAGCCTTTTTGCTTTGGTTAGAAAGGGTCTGGCTTTTTGCCAAGGCTGACTTGAACAACTAGTGATCTCAAATTCCCATATAGCTTCTAATCTTAAGTTTATAAACTGGAATTCATCCACTGTTGGTTAGATTAAAAAATGGTACAACCCCTTTGGAAAATTCTTTGTCAGGGCTTACAAAGTCAAATGTATACCTATTCTATGACAGAGCGGTTCCACCAAAAGAACAGAATGTCCACCCAAAAGAATGCACAAAACTTTAAGTAGATCCTTCAAGGTTACTTAGTAAATTTAGAGCTGAATTTAGCCAGTTTCCTGATCAAAGCTTTTCTCGAGTCATCACTGATACAAGCAAGAATTTCATCAGTAGTCACGTCCTCAGAAAACAAATGGCACCGACCTGGAGGGACAGGCCCAGAGAGCTCTGATAGGAGATGGGTTTGGAGTAGAGAGTACAGCAGACTCTGAAGCAGGTAGAACACTTGGAAGAAGAGGAAGTCAGAGGCGGGAACTGAAGAGGAGGGGGAGCAGGCTAGACTGTGACTTCCTGAGCTGGCCTACCAAGGGTTTTTGTTCTGGGCTGCAGTCTATTGTACATGGGAAGTACCATAGGCCTCCCTTTGTTCTAAGAGCAACAGGCTGGGGAAGATGCTGTCGCCATGCAAGAACCACTTTCTACTGCTTGTCTTGTTGGAGGGCATGAGGCAAAAGTCTAGATTTGTTTGCTACCACACTGTTCTTCTAGTTCTTTCTTCTTCCTATTTCCCACCCCTTAGACTAGCCAGCTGCCAGCCTAGGATGGGTTCCTGTAACCAGCAGTCTTCTGTTGCCCCCAGAAAAGGAGATCCTTGTACAAATCTGGGCCTACCCAAACAGGCACTTCCTCCAGAGTGCAGATATCAAGGACTTATTTCCGCTGACTCAACAAAAAAAATAATATCCTTCAAGGCAGGAATTGGAAATCTGCAGTAACCTTCACAAGAGAGGAGGAGAGCATTTCCTTTGCCAGTGTACCCTTTCCCAGAACACAGTTTGGGTGTTCCTGACAAGGGGCAAGCTCCACCCCTATTCTCTGGTCCCAAGCCAATTCTGGGGCTGTGAGCCTACCTCTGTGGTCCATAGGCCATTCTGTTTCTGAGTCAGAGGGCCTGAACTGAGGGTCTGGGAATTTGGACACTGGATCCCACTGTTCATATTCTTCTCTGGGGCTGTAGATCGAGGCATACTATTGGAGGGCAGTCCATCTTCCAGCACACCTGTAGTGGTGAGAAAAGGGTGGCACCAGAGACTTACATTTGACAGTTGTTATAAACAATCCCAAGACTGTGGAGAAAAAGATAAGCAAGAAGCAAAAAGGCACCAGAAATTCCACCATGCTATCCTTTTCTGTAAAAACACGTGTGTTTTTAATAAATACTTTTGTAACTTGACATTTTGACTTATTCCATCAATGGCAGTATTTCGGTTTCGTGAAACATTCAGCCACATTATTTTTTCATACATCTGTTGTATAGCTGTATTTGGTATTTATTTGCTTCATTTAATCAGTCATTTATTTAATAACTCCCTTCTCATTGGCCATTTGTTTCTATTTTTGAATAACAAACATGACAGGGATGACACTTCTTGTGGTGAAAGCTTTAATCTTCTTTACTTCCTCTGGATAAATTCTTACAAGTGAGAATATTGGCTTGAAGGCTATACAGAGATTTTTGCATAATTCCATCTCTCAGGGTTACAATAAGCATGTGTGCCTCCCGTAACCAATGCCAAAAACAAAAATGACAGAAGTTTAAATAAATGACCTCACTGAAAATGTAGGAGGACAGTGTCAGAATTCAGTAAGTATGGAAAGTATCTGATTGGAAAGAGTAAAGGTCCCAGAAAGTGTGAAGGGGAGCAACAAATAGGACACAAAGAAGGAGGCGGGACTCTGCAGTCGCCATAAAGACAGGAGCAGTTGGAGCGGACAGCCACTCTACCCCTCCACCTGCAAGGCCATACAGCAACAAGGGGTTGGGCTCAGAAAAGAGCACTATACTTACAAAACTCAAATCCAAAGATGCAAACATTAGTAAGACTTTCCAGATTTAAGGCACCTGCAGAGCCTTAAATCCAAGCCCAGTATACCCTGTATAGTCCCACTAGTTGCACAAACATGAAGCTGACCCTGTAGAGACTGACCAGATGTGGCCAAGAAGCAAATGGCCTGTGTCCTTCTCTCAGCATTCCATCCATTCCTCAGCATCTTTTCTGGGCTTCGGGACTTCCACAAGCACTCTGAAAATCTCTCATGTGTTTCAGGGTTTTCAGTTTCCATTGGTGGCTAAACCCCAATTATAACTCTGTCTTCTTAACCCCACCCTCACCAAGAGGGTTTTGTTGTTATTGTTTGGTGTGGATCTTTTGTTTGGTTTTGGGGTAGCTACTTCCTCTCATTTGCCTCCAGCTTACAACAATCCCCATATCAAAGTGGCATGTTTAGGGGTGGCACAGTATAGTCTTCTACACAAGCCATACCTCTGGTGGATGAGAGGAAATTTATTTTTCCTTTGTACTTTTCTATTACTGTACAAGTTTTCTGAGATTGAAATACAAGTTAGGTTGCAGAGGTAAGAGGTAAGAGTTGATAACTCCAGATTCTTGATCTTCTGGGGGGAGTAACCTCTTGACTAATCTGGTAGTCAGAATATATCTGCTCACTGCTTGGCAGTGAAGGTCTCCAAGTTGGTGCTAGTTCTCTGCTGGTCCTCAGAGCATCTCTACCTTATTTATCAGGCATAGTGGGCCAGGAGCTTAGCACTTAGCTGATGATGTGACTTCTAAGTGAAGAATGGAACTGATATAGCCAATGAGAACAGCAGGAGGAGGAGGAACAGCTGGGGACAGGCCATAGATAATAAGTATGCTGTATGTCCCAGATACTGTTAGACCTTTACGTCATATGTCATCTCATGTAATCCTTATGGTAGCACAATAAAATAGGAATCATTGTTCCCATTTAATAAATGAAAAATCCTTGCATTGTGTTTACTTGCTGGGCTCCCTGCACACAGATTCTGCAGACCACCTTTCTCCCCTCTCCAGCCTGGGAGTTAAGAAAATTGCCATAATATTTCAGGAGAAGAAATTGAAGTTTTACGTGAGATCTGTATATTTCTAAAGCTTATGATATTAGCAAGTATTTCTTTCTATGAAAAACTCCCAAGTAGGCAGTTCTCAATTTAATATTCATGAGACCCCCCCCGGAGTGTCTTCAATTGAAGAACCAACCTCTAGTCTCCAAGAAATGATTCAGTAGAACACAGGAATATATAGGTGTGTATATATATAGTATACTATGTATATTATGTAATATAATATATATTTATATATAAGGTTATATATTCATTATATGTGTGTTACACACACACATATATATGTATAATTGAAAGTCCTCTTAAAGATTCTGAAGCAAGGGATTCTAAAGGTCCACAAAGACTCGTTTATATTATAGATATAAATGTAGATGTGTACAGATCTGTGTCTGACAGAGAAACCAACATTCATGCTAGTTTTGAAGATTTCATACAAAAATGCTTACCTATGAAACCCCACCACTTGGGAGGCCAAGGTAGGAAGATAGTGACTTTGAGGCTAGCTTAGGCTACACAACTATACCTGGTCAAAGAAACAAGCTCATCTACATTTTTTCCCACAGTGAACTGGAGACATTTGTGTGTCCTTGGAATATATCCTTTGTAATAATACCTTCCATAAAATTTCCATCCCATCCAGGAGACAGCCAAACATAAACTTCGCCAAGAGAAACAGCTGTGTAGAAGAAGCTTATTTCTTGCCAAAGCTTCTTGCTATTTTAGGAATAGAGCTGGGCAGGAGGGCAGCATATAGAAATTTAAGATGGTAGCTAGGGGCCATATGGAGAGCAGGTTTTCTCCTTAACCCCAGAATCTGGCTCTTCTGGGTGAAGATGATCAGAGCCTGGGCAAAGTCATCAGAGACTGCCTACAAATCATTCCTCTCAATGATAGAGAACGAAGGATAAGACATAGCAATCTATTTAGAAAGGATCTCTTCAGGTCACATCAGATGAAACTCTGGCCTATCAAAGCCCTGCCTGGGCTCAGGTCCAAAACACACATCTGATGACATTTGTGTTTCAACAAAGGTATAAATTAAATTGCGACTCCATAACCACTTACTAAGAGTGTGTCTCCTCATCTCAAAATGAGCTGAATAGAGAGGTGTCAGTCCTTCAGTCTGATGAGCTTTTCACTCCCCTGTCATAGAGAGTGGCAGCAAGATGCCACTTGTGGGCTTTTGTGCCACACTGGGATACTCAGGCTACCAGATTTCATTAGTACCCTGCAAGTCACCCGTGGCCTGCCAGGTTCTAAGACTGAGACACAACTGGGAGCTTTGGAACAAAGAAATAATTGGGGATCACAATCTGGGACAGCCTGCCAGGGTCCAGGTGGCCACAGCCATCAAAGGTGGACATAGCTATGGGGAGTCATTCCTTCCCTGTTATGAGCAACTTCCTCACCTTAGGACAACCATTTCTTTTTTTCCCCCAGAATACGAAGGCCTGGCCTTTGCTGGTAGAGAGCTCTCATTACTGAGAGATCATTTTACATTGATTGGTGGAAATCAAACGTGGGCCTCAGCTGTCAGCAGCCCTTTCCAGCCTCTCTCTTCCCTGAGACCATTTCTTAAAAAAAGCTTCTGGTGGATAGCTGGGACTACAGTGATCAGCTTATACTGACAGATTGCAAACAGCTTGTGGTCAGCCAGGCCTTGGATTGAGCCATAGCCTAGGAGCTTGGGGGCTAGAAACTCCTGAGGTTTAGGGATATTTAGGTCACCCAGTCACCAGAGACCACCAGCAAAGGTGGCTGAGACTCCAAAGGCAGCAGCATCTGACTGTTGGAAAAGGTACAGCAGAGGTATCATGATCCAAGACAGCTTATACCATAAAGGTTCAAGCACGGAAGTTTTGGTGGAACTCTTCCTCCCTGGCTAGGAGAGAATAACATCACCCGAGGATAAGGCAGAATGAACTTTTAGGCTAGTAGTTTGTGGAATACCCACTGTCCAAGGTCTGTTATCTGGCTCTATGTCCTAATGACTGAGGGAGACAGAGCCTTCCTACCAAGATCTAAATCATGTGATCTCCTCTTATAACCCATAGAAAGCTATATACCAACATATAAGAGGGACTGAAAATCCCTGCCCCCACAAACACATCTCATACTAAGGTTTAAGAGCAGGACCTCATTCTGTCTTGGCTGGTGTTCTACACTTGAGTCATGCCTCCAGCCTAGCTTTTTGCTGTTTACCTTCCTTGGAGATGGAGTCCCCTGGATTTTTCTGCCTAGGCTGGCTTCAAATTCAGCTTTCTAGATCTCAGCCTCCTGGGTATCTAAAATTACAAGCATGAGACATTGTAGCATGGCTAACATGTTTCTCACTCTCTTCACTCTTCATACCTAAGTTCTAACATCTATACATACTACCCTTACTCTTTTATCCCCTACTGTACCACATAAAAATGCTTGTCTCCTGTATATAGCATATGATTGATTGTAGAGATCATGTTATCAATGGTATTTTGCTGTCTTCAAATTTCTGATTGGACAGTATATTGATGAATTTGTTAGTAGTGAGATATATTCATGGACCAGAGGTGAGAAATGGTTCATCAACCCAGTTAATACCCAGTTCAATGAGAAGACAGAAAATAATCCAATGGAAAGCTATCAGGCAGCTAATCCTCATACTACAAATTGTCTTCAAATAAGTAAGAACTATGGAAAAGCAAGGCAATGTAATCCCTCCAAAACCAATAGTTACACAGGGGAGTAGAATGACAGCAAAGTGGAGGAAAATCCATATATATTGAGCTCAACACAATGATGATAAAAATGTTCAATGAAATAAAAGAAAAGAGAACATTTATCAAACAACTCAGTGCAATAGAAAAAAAGATTCAAATAAAGAGCTAAATGAATGCCAAGTAAACAATTAAATGAACTCAAAGAGAATACAAACTAAACAACACATTAAAAAGACATATAACTGAATAAATGAAGTAAAGAAGCCAATGCAAAACAAACAGTAAAACGGATATGGATAAAGATTCAGAAAATACCAGGAAAAAAATCAACTAAGTTCTAGAGATGAAAACTATACTGGAAAACTTCTCTAGCAAAGTAGATGTAATGGAAGATAGAATTTCAGGGTCTGAAGATAAAAT